TGATAACATTTGCATCATATTATTTTAAGCCGCGCGTGCAGTGCAAGAGGTAGAGAGTAGGAAGAAATGATGAGGGCCCCATTAATCCCAATTGCAAATCATTCTCTATTTTCAATTATCTTGGTCGACCAAGCTGCACATGGAAGTTTCGTTACTTAACAGAAGAAGAATTACGGGCAGCCCATACATATATTTTACTAAACTGTCCAGAAGTGAAGCCATACTTCGAGTAAGTTTACATTTGCAAATATATGTATTGTGTGTCAAACATTTGCTAATATATAAATGGTATTTGTTAATAGGATTTTTCAAACTTCAATATATGAACTACTACCAAATGAGTTTGACCGTTTGTGCGATAAAGAATTTGCAGAATGGTTCAAAACATATGTAAGTTGCCTATGGACCAAAACCAAGTTATTAATATTTTATACATAATTTATTAAAATATATATTATTGACTTTGCTTGTGTGACCTTTAGGTTCACAGTAATCATGATGATCAAGTTGAAGAGCAAGGATTGCTATATCATCTGTCATGGGGTCCAAAGTTTAGAGTATGAAGCTGGCCGGCATATTTCATAAAAGGGTATAATTTTCACACTCAAGAATATGGAATGGAAAAAGCCACAATGAAAAGTGGTGTGTGTGTTCGGTCATCCAATGGTGGCGGTTCAAAAGATGATTTTTATGGCTTGTTTGATGAAATCATAGAGATAGAGTACTATGGACCATTAATGCGGATTGTGTTATTTAAGTGCATGTGGTTCGATCCATCAAAGGAATGAAGATACATACGAAGTTTAATTTGGTTGAAATAAATCATAAGAAAAGGTATATGAAATATGAACCATTTGTCTTGGCACAATAAGCAATTCAAGTATATTATGTATCATATCCTAGTTTGAAACGTGACAAAACTGATTGATGGGCCGTATGTAAAATCAAAGCACGAAGAAAAATCGAGGAACACTGGAAGGATACACTATATTAACAAGAGGAAGTCTGTAATGCAGTTGAAACTGAGGAATATAACATTCTAACTTTACGAGATCCATGTGGAGCAATGGTAGATATGGATGCAACTTAAATTCACGAATCAAATCTAGAAGGTGTTGCATAATTTGATTTTGAGACAGAGGATGAAGATGAAGAGGAAGACGAAGACGAAGACGAAGGTGAAGATGAAGGCGAAGACGAAGACGAAGGCGAAGACGAAGACGAAGGTGAAGATGAAGACGAAGGTGAAGATGAAGACGAAGATGAAGGTGAAGATGAAGATGAAGATTATGATTTTTGAGACTTTTTATTAATTATGTGTAACAATTATTATTATTGCGACATGTGTTATTGTTGTTGTCATAATTATTGTTGTTGTTATTATTATTATTATTATCAAGGATTTAGCCACGGAACATTAGCGAAGAATGCCAATTCGTTGCTAATTTGCGACGGAAATAGCAACGAACGCAAATCCGTTGCTAATTTCCGATGGAAATAGCGACGAAAATAACTTTCGCGGCACAAACACGACTATTTTTATAGTTCATTGCTAATTTCGTCGTTAATTTGCGACGAAAATAGCGACGAAAGTAACTTTCGCGGCACGTTCCCGACTATTTTATTTTCGTCTCTAATTAGCGACGGATTCAAATTCGTCGCTAATTTGCGACGGAATTAGTGACGAAATTAACTTTGGTAGGACGTTCCCGACTATTTTTATAGTTCATAGCTAAATCCGTCGCTAATTAGCGACGGATTTAGCGACGAAATTAACTTTCGCGGCACTTGCGCTACTAATTTTAAATTTCGTCGCTAAATCCGTCGCTTAGCGACGAAATTAACTTAAAAATACTATTTGTAAAATCCGTCGCTAATTAGCGACGAAATTAACTTTCGCGACTATTTGTAAAATCCATCGCTAAATCTGTTGCTAATTAGCAACGGATTTAGCGACGAACTTAACTTAACTTAAAAATACTATTTGTAAAATCCGTCGCTAATTAGCGACAGATTTAGCGACGAAATTAACTTTTGGTACTATTTGTAAGATCCGTCCCTAATTAGCGACGGATTTAGCGATGAAATTAACTTTCGCTACTATTTGTAAAATCCGTCGCTAAATCCATCGCTAATTAGCGACAGATTTAACTTTCAGGGCACTTTCTCTACTATTTTAAAATCTGTCGCTAATTAGCGATGGATTTAGCGACGAAATTAACTTTCGCGGCACTTGCGCTACTATTTTTCAATTTAGTCGCTAAATCTGTCGCTAATTAGCGACGGATTTAGCAACGAAATTAACTTTCGCGACTATTTGTAAAATCCGTCCTTAATTAGCGATGGATTAAAATTCATCGCTAATTGGTGATGGATTTAGCAACGAAATTAACTTTAGGGGCACTTTCTCTACTATTTTAAAATCCGTCTCTGCTATTTGTAAAATCCGTCGCTAAATTAACTTTCGGGGCACTTTCTCTACTATTTTAAAATCCTTTAGCGACGAAATTAACTTTCGGGGCACTTTCGCTACTATTTTAAAATCCGTCACTAAATCCATCGCTAATTAGCGACGGATTTAGCGACGAAATTAACTTTCGCGGCACTTGCGCTACTAATTTTAAATTTCGTCGCTAAATCCGTCGCTTAGCGACGAAATTAACTTAAAAATACTATTTGTAAAATCCGTCGCTAATTAGCGACGAAATTAACTTTCGCGACTATTTGTAAATTAGCAACGGATTTAGCGATGAACTTAACTTAACTTAAAAATACTATTTGTAAAATCCGTCGCTAATTAGCGACAGATTTAGCGACGAAATTAACTTTTGGTACTATTTGTAAAATCTGTCACTAAATCCATTGCTAATTAACGACGGATTTAGCGACGAAATTAACTTTCGCTACTATTGTAAATCCGTCGCTAATTAGCAATGGATTTAGCGACGAAATTAACTTTTGGTACTATTTGTAAGATCCGTCCCTAATTAGCGACGGATTTAGCGATGAAATTAACTTTCGCTACTATTTGTAAAATCCGTCGCTAAATCCATCGCTAATTAGCGACAGATTTAACTTTCAGGGCACTTTCTCTACTATTTTAAAATCTGTCGCTAATTAGCAATGGATTTAGCGACGAAATTAACTTTCACGGCACTTGCGCTACTATTTTTCAATTTTGTCGCTAAATCTGTCGCTAATTAGCGACGGATTTAGCAACGAAATTAACTTTCGCGACTATTTGTAAAATCCGTCCCCAATTAGCGATGGATTAAAATCCATCGCTAATTGGTGATGGATTTAGTGACGAAATTAACTTTCGGGGCAGTTTCTCTACTATTTTAAAATCCGTCTCTGCTATTTGTAAAATCCGTCGCTAAATTAACTTTCGGGGCACTTTCTCTACTATTTTAAAATCCTTTAGCGACGAAATTAACTTTCGGGGCACTTTCGCTACTATTTTAAAATCCGTCACTAAATCCATCGCTAATTAGCGACGGATTTAGCGACGAAATTAACTTTCGTGGCACTTGCGCTACTATTTTTCAATTTCGTCGCTAAATCCGTTGCTAATTAGCGATGGATTTAGCGACGAAATTAACTTTCGCGGCACTTGCGCTACTATTTTTTAATTTCGTCGCTAAATCTATCGCTAATTAGCGACGAAATTAACTTTCGCTACTATTTGTTAAATCCGTCACTAAATCCGTAGCTAATTAGCGACGGATTTAGCGACGAAACTAAACTTTCGCTTAAATCCGTCGCTAATTTCCGAAACGGCATTGTCTTGATTTGGCGGTACAATTAGGACTTTCTCTCTGCTCTCTCTCTCTCGATCGATTCTTCAAAAATAGAGTACGGCTTTCTCTCTCTCTCTCTCTCTCTCTCTCTCTCTCTCTCTCTATGGATCGATTCTCGACGGCTTCCTTCGACAATTTGGCGTTTTTTTCTTCAGATTTGGCGTTCTTCAGTGCAATTTTTTGTTGGAGACAGGAACCCCTTCGGCTGTCGCTCGTCCGAGAGGAACTTGAAGTGCTCGGACCCTCGTCGTTGTCCGAGAGTTTCGGATCTGAGGAGGATCATCGTCGTCCGAGAGTTTCAGAGGAGGTACGTTCGCGTGAATTTTTTGCACTTTTTGTCTCGGGCGAGCGCTATTTCGAATTGTTTGGTTTTGGTTTCGGTTTGTTTGCTGTTGTTCGGTTTCGGATTGACTTGTTCGGATTGGGTCTGCTATTCAGTTTCGATTTCGATTTGTTTGCTGCTGTTCGGTTTCGGATTGACTTGTTCAAATTAGGGTTGCTGCTGTTCGGTTTTAGTTTGTTTGCTGCTATTCGATTTCGGATTGACTTGTTCAGATTGCGTTTGCTGTTCGATTTTGGATTATGTAGGGCGGAGATTGTTCGGTTCCATATTCTATGGGACGTTTGCTGTTGCTTCTTTTATATTGGATTTGCTATTGCTTCATTTGTTTGCTGCTGTTTCGGATTGTTCGGTTGAATGGATTGGGGGTCTGATTGGATTTTATATTAGATTGGGTTTGTTTTTATATTAGATTGTTCGGTTTGGGTCTGTTTTAAGCCAAGTACCTAATTGATGCACTTACATTTGCGAACTTGGCACTTAGATTGGCGAGCTCGGAATGAGCTAAAATTTGGTCGGCTGTGTGGAAACGGGCCGCTGATCAATAGACACTGCTATGCTGTGATGAACATCATTTTTTTGCGTTTCGGAGTCGTTTAGATAGGTTTCCGAGCACAAATACATTCTGTTTAGTGCGATTTTTTTTAGTTCGATTTTTTTAGTCCGGTTCACATGGAACTTCTGATTGTTGTTTATGTTTACACAAAATAAAGAATGGCTGTCATCCTTAAAATCTACTGGTGGCATGCTCAACATGTGGAACCGTTGATGACTAACTTGAATTTTTTGGTTTACCGGCAATACAATATGAATATGAACAAGAACAGCATCAACATTAACATTAAGAAGAGCCTATTCGCATCAACAAGAACTGCTTTCTAATGTTCATTAATTCTCCTATTTTCTTCTTACATAGTAATCACCAGAAAGTGCTTCACTTCACTAGCTTTTTGAATGTTTTTGTAGACAGAGGTAACAACTATTATTTGTGGCAAAAAGATCTACAGAAGCTCATAGACATTTCCGGACAGCTCGCTATTTATCAGAGGCGATAGCAAGTTTGTTTCGTTTTCTCAAATTTATCTCTTGCTCTCTGAAACAAAATGGTAAGCTTCATGATATACGTCATTATGTGTCCCTAATACATGTTCATATTTTTTAAGATATTTGTCTAACCTTCCTACTTGTCAGTATAAATGTGGAGGTTACATGCATGGTGCAGTTTCACAAAGAAGAGCAGCCCCTTCCCCTTCCCCTTCCCCTTCCCCTTCCTCGTCCCTGTCCCTTTCGTCTTCCCCTGCCCTTTCATGTTTCCCTCAACCACTACATGCTGATGGACAACATGGACACATTGGCCCTTTCTTCGACCCTCAAGAACATATTAGGGGACAACTTGGAAACATGCGAACTGAATCTACTTCAGTTCCATGTCCTTCGGTTCCACTTTCTTCTTCAGTGCAACACTCGAATGATGAGGGAAACACAGGTCAAGAAGATAGTCGATTCATGATATGCCCATATGAAGATTCGTAAGTACTTCATTTTTTAAGTATATGTAATATTTAGGGTTTTAGATTTCAGTCAACTGAATTGTCCATATTGCAAATTATCCGTATGCTTTATTGTTTTATTGTCCATGTCGTTCTTTCAATATGTTTGCAGATTCACAAATGCTACTTATGTTGTGAGGCAACTTAATAAAATAGTCAATAATTCTTGGAGGAGGCAGTATATTAGTTACAGCAGCACTCCAAAAGAAGTAAAGGGTTTGTGGTGGAATGAGTTCAAAGTAAGTTTTGTTCTTCCAGGTGTTTCTCGTGGCCCTGTTAGGGAAGTCCCACATCAAGTAGTAATGGATATGAACTTCAAAAAACCCATTGCCGAATTGTCTGGTACATAGTAATGGATATGTGACCCTCATAATAACTTTATGTTGTTTTTATATTGATTCAACGGAAGTTCAAGTGGGATGAAATGAAAGAGGATGAAGTTAAAAGAATTTTTAAGAAGAAAGCCGGTGATCCCATACAAAATGTGATGAATAAAGCAAAGATAAGTCAAGTAAAGCTGGATTTTATTACGGGTGACAATTGGACGGAAATTAAGAGAACTTGGGAAATTGAAAAGAATAAGCAAATGAGTGAACATAATAAGAAGAATCGAGCTTCTAGTTCTAGTGAAGGGTCTGCCACATATGCTGGGGACTCTATCAACATCGGGGAGCATAGAAAAATAATGGTAAGTCTGTTAAACATGTTGTAAGTTAATTTAATTCAATTACTCATTTATGTTTATATTTTGTAGGCAGATGAATTGGGGACGGAACCGACATATACAGCTACATTTGAATGCGCATTTCAAAAAAAAGATAAGACATGGACTGGCGATCGAGCAAAAGATATTAATGTATGTAAGGTTATACTTGAATGCTTTTAATATTTATGGTAGTTATATATATGAAGTTGTTCTATTTTCATCTATATTGTTAATGCAATAAAAATATGATGAACTTTTAATGAGTAGTGCTAGTGGTAGTGGTGGTGATGGTTTTGCTGCGTCTAAGCCATCCGTTGATAGTATGGCATTATGGATGGAGGCAAATATTTGGGATGGGATCCTTGTCGAGGTACACACAACGTAGGCTGCTACAACTTCATCCTCCAATGCGGCTGTTTCGAGGAGGACACGACTTGAGGAGCCAATGGCCCAAGAATTGAGTCAACTGAAACATTTACTTGTAGAGAAGGACAAAGAAATAAGAGTGGTCAAACAACAAATATAATTGATCTTACGACACCTCAACCTCGATCACAATGAGGTTCCTCTTGTACCTCCGACTAATCCAATAGGTGATGGGCACAATGATGAGTGACATGATGATGATGACATTGCTGATGATGATGATGATTTTCTCGGTCCTTGCTAGTGATAATTTCCATTTTCATATCATTATAATATTTTTAAGCACTAAATTTTGAGCACTATGTATTTCATTATCATATCATTATGTATTTAAGCACTAAATTTTGATATTATTAAGTGCTTAATCAATGTTAAATATAAATTCTAGAAAATAATTTTGTTGTTAATTATATTTAAATTCGAAATCGTCCCTAAACAACATTCGTCGTTGACTTCGTCAGTAAAGAATTAATAAAAATTCGTCGCTAAATTCGTTCCGGAACAATGTTCGTGGCAAAAGTAAAAAATTTTCATGGCAAATTAGCAACGAATAATTAGCGACGAATTTTGCCACGAATATATTTTGTTGCAATTTAGTGACGAAAATTGATATTTTTCGTCGCTAAATTTTGCGACGCCGAATTGGCGACGAAATTTTTTTCGTGGCAAATTTGTAGTGATCTGAACCTTATCGGAAGCATCGCTGCGCCAATTTTGTAAAACTCGCAAGTCATTGTCAACAAGGGCGGTGCTACCTAATTAACAAGAGTTGCGGTGATTGCGTCGGACCATAACTAGGGTCGCTCGACCCCCCACCATCTCGCGTCCCGCCCTCCCTCTCCCTCGATGGTGACCGATGGCGACTCCGCTCCAGACAATGGCTAGTCATGGCAGATGCCCATGCCCGACCCTTGGGGGACACGGTACTGTCGACGCGGCGAACCCAATCCCTCTATCTCTCGTTCTTTAATTTTTTTTAAATTATCTTAAAAGATGTTGTGGAGTTTTTCGACATAGCATTTCTCTTGCAATAAAAATTTTAATATTCTCTTAATCTTCATCGTTTAATTCTGAATAATTTTCAAAAATTTCCCTTTATTGAAGAGAGAAGATAACCTTTCCAAAAAAAAATTTCAAAAGAAAAATAAATTTCGCCGGACAAAAATTCCACACCCCAAAAGAAAAATCCCGCTCCGACCCAAAAAAAAAAAACACGCCCACATACCGCGCGACGCTTCCATCCAGGTGCATCCCTCATTGGGCGCTCCACCGTCCTCGTGGATCGCGATCCGCGTGACTCCAACCACGAACGAATCTCGCCCGTCCAATCCAACGGCTGGATTTTCTCTCCTCTCCTCCGAAAACATTTTCAAAATCCCAAAACTTTTTCCCTCTCCCGCCTCGCTCTCTTCTTCTTCCTTCCTCCTTTATATATCTTCCTCCTCCTTCCTCCTCTCGCAAGAACCAGCAGATTCAACTCGCTTTCTCTCTCAATTTTCCCGAGAAAATCAATACCCAGAGAAAAGGGAAGAAGGAAAACTTGCTGATCGGCATGGCCCGCACGAAGCAGACGGCCCGGAAGCCCACCGGCGGCAAGGCCCTGCGGAAGCAGCTGGCCACCAGGAGGCAGCCCGGAAGTCGGCCCCGGCGACCAGCGGGGTGAAGAAGCCGCACAGGTTCAGGCCCGGGATGGTGGCGCTGAGGGAGATACGGAAGTACCAGAAGAGCACGGAGCTGCTGATCCGGAAGCTGCCCTTCTAGCGGCTGGTGCGGGAGATCGCCCAGGACTTCTAGACCGACCTCCGGTTCCAGAGCAGCGCCGTCGCCGCCCTCCAGGAGGCGGCGGAGAAGTACCTCGTCGGGCTATTCGAGGACACCAACCTGTGCGCCATCCACGCCAAGCGGGTCACGATCATGCCCAAGGACATCCAGCTCGCTAGGAGGATCCGGGGAGAGAGGGCTTAGTTATAAAGGGGAATGTGGTTAGATATTTGTCATGTTGGAGGGTGTTTGGTTGTAGGCTTGATTATGGAGACTTTGAATCGTTGTTATGTAGATGTACATCTTTGGGCATTAATGGAATGTGGGTTTGCTTCGCTTTCTTTGACTTTCTGGCAAATTTTGGTGCTTTTCAGTATTCATGGGTTTTATCTTGTGAATTGATGTTCTTGGAAGACAAGAACAATAGATACTTTAATTTAGTGGTCACTGGGATGGTTTCAAGGAATTAACAATATAGTTGGGGCTGAATTCGAAAGTCTCTTGCTTTCTTGTGCGAATGCAGGGAATTACATAATACTTTTTTTTCTAATTTGTGACGGATTCAAATTCTGTCGCCAATTTGTGCCGGAATTAGCGATGAAAATAATTTTCGCGGCACGTTCCCGACTATTTCATTTTGGTTGCTAATTCCGTCGTTAATTAGCAACGGATTTAAATTTGTCGCTAATTTCGACGGATTCAAATTCCGTCACTAATGCTAATTTCGTCGCAAAAATTAGCGACGAATTTTGCCATGAATAATTAGCAATAAATTTTACCACGAATAAATAGTGACGAATTTTGCCACGAATAATTAGCGACGAATTTTGCCACGAATAGTTAGTGACGAATTTTACCATGAAAAATTAGCGACGAATTTTGCCATGAAAAATTAGAGACGAATTTTGCCATGAAAAATTAGCGACGAATTTTGCCACAAAAAATTAGCGACGAATTTTACTACTAATAATTAGCGACGAATTTTACCACGAATACAATTTGTGCCTAATTAGCGACGAATTTTGTCACGAATATTTTTCGTCACAATTTAGGGACGAAAATTGAAATTTTTCGTCGCTAAATTTTGCGACGCCGAATTAGCGACGAAATTTTTTTCGTCGCAAATTCATTTAGCGACGAATTTTTCCATTTTTTTCATGGCAAAATTCGTCGCTAAAACTTACTTTTTTTGTAGTGTGTATTTTCAATTAACCAAACACATGAAAGCTCGAAAACTCATTTCATGAAATTCTTTTTGATGAAAACAAAACCAAACCCTAGAAACAATATATCTACACTAAACCAAATGGGTCTTGACGATTAAATAGATATATTGGTGGGCCTTTGTCCAATTTCTTTTCTTCCTTTTTTTTTTAATTTCTTTTGGGCTTTAAAGTTCGTAGATGGGTTATTTTCTATTGCCTTTTGTGTTTACTTTTCTTTCTGACCTTAGACTTGTTAAATGATTTTTCAGAATTAGGTACTAGCATTCCTTTTTTTCTATTATTCCTAAATCTTTAATCGAAATGGGGAATTTGACTCCTTCCTATATCCATTTTTCATTCTCAAAGTGTGATTCTATATTTAACCATAGATAAAGAATTCTACAATTTACACTAAAACCATCTGGCATTGAACCAGTTCAGTTCATAATAAACGTTTTAGACGATCATTTTCGGTGGATTTATAGGATTTTTTTCATCATTGGTTCATTCACGGGATAAATTAAATGTATGATATATATTTATCAAACTGTGAGGTAAAATCCAAATGCAAAGAACATATGAAATATCTATTTACAGAGTATGGAATATGATTTGCCGTGATCTCTGTAAATTTGTATAGTTGTTCAAAAAAAAAAAAAAGGAAATTCAGTGCTTAAAAGCAAAGAAATCACTCGCCATGTGATTGCATATCAGTTTACTTTATCTTTCGAAATTAATTCTAAATCTATTTCCATTCCATCCTCATTTATCAGTAAATTAACATACACTAAAATTAATTTGCCCACTTCATGTTTATTGTTAGTCTTATTTCATGAGATATGTCGGACCATCCTTTGGCAAGTCAACTCATGCAAATTCAGGGTTTGCATTCGTCAATATCCTGAAATACTCTAAAGATAATTATATGTTCTTATTCGAAAAGAAAATTAATTAGGTATATTGAATTCATTGAAGTGTAATACACGTTACATGCAAGACAATCACGTTCACGTGGTCACAGTGAGTTGTTTCTATCATTATAAAATGATCAAAGATTACATAAAAGTGCAAAGTATATATGTTGACTTGGATAATGTCATTAACGAACAAATAATTTTTCCATGCATAACCTGGTCAATAAATAAAATCGGCACAATCAAACCTGATGGAGGACATCGGATCACAAGCATAGTCCAAGAGCGAGACACATATGGTTGATAAAGAAAATTATGCCGTCTCTATAGGTTCTCTATAGGGTTGTCATGAAATTAAGATATAAACATATGACATATGACATAAGACAGACGAGGCTAGTGCCAAAATAGTTATTTTATTATGACAATCATCTTTTAATAGATGATCCATCGACAAAAAGTCCTTATTCTATCGCACATAATTTCATATTACCACTACATGACGGGAATATTATCATGGAAGTCAAAACATTTGAATGAAACCCGAGAGCAGAATTTTCGCGTTTGTTTATTTTTTTTTATTTTTGACTATCGAAATTACCATGTTTGAACTAAAACCATTCAAACAAGCAACGAGGTGTATTTTAGTATCTAAGTTTCGATCGTGTTTGAATGATATAGTCATGACTAATATCTCATGCAAAACTAATTTCAAGTCCTTGGCGTGATCGAGAAGGTGTGTCACATCAATGTTAGAACTCGTCCACGCCAAATTATTTTGTTGATGACGATAAAAAAGGTGGCTTCGTGCTAAAGTGGCTCTCAGCTCCTGGAGACTCGTGAAACCTCCATACTTTTTTTACACAAGAAGTTGTGAATTGTCCATTTCCTAAGGCAAGGTCTCACATCCAGTAATATAGACCTTCTCGAATAATTGGTAAATAACACCTGTCCCTAAATGATCACCATCTTAAATGATTAATTGAATTATTTTTTTCAGACTACGCAAATGTGGATGGGACCAGGTTATC